AACAACGCATAGTTTGGCATCGTTTGAATCCCCATGATCATGTTTACTCCAATAAAGGCCTTTAACTCTTTGCGCGTGATGCGTTGGAAATTTACAAATTTATCACCTAGCTTTTGCTGCACGTATCAATTACTCTCATTTACAATTAGATCCCACAAATCATCACCTATGAAATGCAAAAACACATCGAATTCATTAGGATCATTTAAGTTTACATTAACTCCACTAGTTGCCAGGAAATCAGGAACTTGAACGTCGATGAGGTGGGCAGTCCAACGAGCTTCTTCTTCATCCTCCATGTCATCTGCGCGATCCTCAGGAACTTCTGCATCTTCAGAGCCAGCTTCATCTTCTTTGGCTTCAAGGTCATCTAAATCTATATCAGAAATATCCCCCCTATCCGTGCTTATTTCTCCGAATCCATTAAAGCTGTCTTCGCTCTCTGAGTCCCCAAAAATTGACACGACCTCGGGGTCAATTTCAAAAGAAGCTGGCTTTGTTTTTGCAAAATGGTTCGCATGCGCTCATCGGAAAATCCTGACCTCGTGTTATTCTCATCAGCTGTCAAAATCTACGCAAAAGACGGCAAATGATTGGTTATTACCTGTCAAAGTCTCTATGACGACAAAAGAGCAAATAACACAGTAGGAGTGGGGAGAGGGCCAAGACCAGCGGCCATTTTTACGGGCGGTTACGGGCGGTTCAGGGAATTCGTGGGTTGTCGTATACGGGCGGTTCAGGGGCGAATGGGTTAAGATACCAAGGCTTTCCTCTTCCCTAATTTTCCTCTCTTAAACCCGGCATAATTCAGTCCTAAAAGTGATGGATTAGAATAATGTGCTCCTTCAATCAATATATCTAAAATGCCTTAAATTTTCTTTATTCTTTCTTTAAGTCCCCCCCCCACAAGTTAGCTTCAATGATAAGGGAAAGGTATATAATTCAGACTTCAAAAAATTAAAGTTGATTTTGTTTGCAAAAACTGAAGATAAATCGTTAAAATGGACCACCAAAATATCGGACAATATTAGCAGCAAGTACAAAATTTCTACGAAGGACAAAAAAGCCATTCTTGCTGGAGAATCACTTGGTGCAAGAGGCTCATGGTACAGCCCTTCCAAAGAAATGTCCCCTGCCCTGTCCTTCCATATTTTCACTTTCCTCCATGATTCCAGTGAACAATGGATGTCTCTCATCCAACCTTTGTTTTGGTGATGAACAAGCACAAACTTGTTCAGGGATGGATTTAATTCTTCACACCAACTGAAGTTAAACCAATGTATGTCTCTAAAAGTTGAACCGCTGGTCACAATGCGGCGGTTCCTATACATACTTTCTATATGTTCTTTTTAATTGTAGAACTGTCTTTGTCCATCTGTACAACTTGGAAAGGGTTCCACTAGTTGGTCTGCTTCACAATCTTAAAACAATTGCACTTGATTTTCTTTTTTCAAATTGGGCGAAGTCGTGTCAAAGTGTGTCCTCTAGTTGGGAGTTTATGGTTAAGGATATCAAATACCCCTTCTTTATGAAGTTCATTGTACCAACTGACGAAAAAAACACCAATGATTTTGTGCCTGTCTGGTATGGTTCTGTGAAGTGTCTGAGGCAGGAGGCCACCGTGGATGACCCGCGCTTTGCAATCGTCTCATGCCACATGTACATAAACTTGATTTTGAATTTTTTATGCTTTTTCAAAAACTACCATCAAACCCACTTTTTAAATAGATAAACAGTGAGCAACAAAAAACTCATCTTGTATGTGTGATACCTAGCCAAAATGTATATTTTACCTGGACAAAGTTGAGCTCTTATCATAACAGAATATGAAATAAAAAATCTGGGTACTTCGGATTTGCCTTTACGATATAAAAAGTTTTCTGACTTACCCGGGGCCAGATGTCCAAAATTGGCATCACTCAAATTTGAGAGAAATGTTGCGCCAGCTGGTTATGTTTCAATTCAGTGTCACTATGTAATGTTCAGAAGCATCACAAAGCAAGGAAATGTTTTTTTTTGAGTAAGTTAATGTTATAAGATCAGAGCAATTTACCATTCACAAAACAAAAAATTTTAAAAAGACACCAGGAGAAAACGTTAGATAGATAGATAGATAGATAGATAGATTGAAACTTTATTAAAGTGTCAAAGCCGTCTAGCCAGGGAAAAAAGAACCCCATTACTAATTTGGGGACACCAATTAGGGGAGAATACACAAAGTAAAAACTATATACAGTAGTAGGTAAAATATCTATAGTTATCTAATTGCGAGATTTATAGTAAAAATATACAGAAGTCAAGATGAACAAAGGCTACAGCGTGCGCAGCCATCATCTAAAAGTTCACTTATATTGAGTTGGCGTATCTTGCTTTTAAACGACATTAGGGTTGTGACGTCCCTGATACTCTTGGGTAGTTTTGTCCATAGCCTAGGCCCTAGATATCTAATAGAGTGCTTGCAGTAGGTGACTGTCTCATACCTAGGTATAGAGAAATCTGC